AAGAGCTAACGATCCTAAAGATATATGCACCCAATAGGGGAGCACCCAGATACATGAAGGAAGTTCTTAATGATTTACAAAGGGACTTAGACTCCCACACAATAATAGTGGGAAACTTTAACACCCCATTGTCAATATTAGACAGATCAACCAGACAGAAAATTAACAAGGATATCCAGGACTTGAACTCAGACCTGGACCAAGCAAACCTAATAGACATTTACAGAACTCTCCACCACAAATCCACAGAATTTACATTTTTCTCAGCACCACATCCCACCTACTTTAAAATTGACCACGTAATTGGAAGTAAATCACTCCTCAGCAAATGAAAAATAATGAAAATCATAACAAACAGTCTCTCAGACCACAGTGCAATCAAGTTAGAACTCAGAATTGAGAAACTAACTCAGAACTGCACAACTTCATGGAAACTGAACAACTGGCTCTTGAATGTTGACTGGATAAACAATGAAATGAAGGTGAAAATAAAGATGTTCTTCAAAACCAATGAGCATGGAGACACAACATACTAGAATCCCTTGGACACATTCAAAGCAGTGTCTAGAGGAAAATATATAGCAATAAATACCCACAAGAGAAGCAAGGGAAGATCTAATATCGACACTCTACCATCAAAATTGAACAGCTAGAGGAGCAAGATCTAAAAAAATTCAAAAGCTAGCAGAAGACAAGAAATAACCAAGATCAGAGCAGAAATGAAGGAGATAGAGACATTAAAAAAAAAACCTTCAAAAAAATAAATACAGGAGCTGGTTTTTCAAAAAGATAAATAAAATAGACCACTAGCCAGATTAACAACAACAACAAAAAAGACAGAATAATCAAATAGATGCAATAAAAAACAATAAAGGGGATATCAACACAGATTCCACAGAAACAGAAACCATCATCAGAGGTTATTACAAACAACTCTATGCGCATAAACCAGTAAGCCTGGAAGAAATGGATAAATTTCTGGACACATGCATCCTCCCAAGCCTAAAGCAGGAAGAAGGTGAAACCCTGAACAGACCAATAACAAGGGGTGAATTTGAGGCAGTTATCAATAGCCTACCACCCCAAAAAAGCCCTGGTCCAGATGGGTTCACAGCTCAATTCTACCAGACATACAAAGAGGAATTGATGTCATTCCTTCTGAAACTATTCCAAACAATTCAAAATGAGGGAATCCTTCCCAAATCATTTTATGAGACCAACATCATCCTGATACCAAAACCTGGCAGAGACTCAACAAGAAAAGAAAACTTCAGGCCAATATCCCTGATGAACATAGATGCAAAAATCTTCAATAAAATACTGGCAAACCGATTGCAACAGCACATCAAAAACCTTATCCACCATGATCAAGTAGGCTTCATCCCGGGGATGCAAGGCTGGTTCAACATACACAAGTCGATAAACATAATTCACCACATAAACAACCAAAGACAAAAACTACATTATTATCTCAATTGATGCAGAGAAGGCCTTTGACAAAATTCAACAGCCCTTTATGCTAAAAACTCTCAATAAACTAGGTATTGATGGAACGTATCTCAAAATAATAAAAGCAATTTATGACAAAACCACAACCACTATCATACTGAATGGGCAAAAACTGGAAGCATTCCCTTTGAAATCTGGCACTAGACAAGGATGCCCTCTCTCACCACTCCTATTCAATATAGCATTGGAAGTTCTAGTCAAAGCAATCAGGCAAGAAATTGAAATAAATGTTATTCAATTAGGAAAGGAGGAAGTCAAATTGTCTCTGTTTTCAGATGACATGATTGTATATTTAGAAGATCCCATTGTCTCAGCCCAAAAATCTCCTGAAACTGATGAGAAGCTTCAGCAAAGTCTCATGATACAAAATCAATGTGCCAAAATCACACACATTCCTATACACCAATAACAGACTTAAAGAGAGCCAAATCAAGAACAAACTGCCATTCACAATTGCTTCAAAGATAATAAAATACCTAGGAATAAAACTAAATAGAATGTAAAGCACTTCTTCAAGGATAACTACAAACCACTGCTCAACAAAATAAGAGAGAACACAAACAGATGGAGAAACATTCCATGCTCATGGTTAGGAAGAATCAATATCATGAAAATGGCCATACTGCCCAAAGTAATTTACAGATTCAACACTATCCCCATTAAGCTACCAATGACCTTCTTCACGGAACTGGAAAAAAACACCTTAAACTTCATCTGGAACCAAAAGAGAGCCCACATAGCCAAGTCAATTCTAAGCAAAAAGAACAAAGCTGAAGGCATCACACTACCTGACTTCAAACTATACTACAAGGCTACAGTAATCAAAACAGCATGGTACTGGTACCAAAACAGAAATATAGATCAATGGGACAGAACAGAGGCCTTGGAGGAAATGCCACACATCTACAACCATCTCGTCTTTGACAAACCTGAAAAAAACAAGCAATGGGGAAAGGATTCCCTGTTTAACAAATGGTGTTGGGAAAACTGGCTAGCCATGTGCAGAAAGGAGAAACTGGACCCCTTCCTAACACCTTACACTAAAATTAACTCCAGATGGATTAAAGACTTAAACATAAGACCTAACACCATAAAAACTCTAGAAGAAAATCTAGGCAAAACCATTCGAGACATAGGTATAGTCAAGGACTTCATGACTAAAACACCAGAAGCATTGGCAACAAAAGCCAAAATAGACAAATGGGACCTAATCAAACTCCACAGCTTCTTCTCAGCAAAAGAAACAGTCATTAGAGTCTATCAGCAACCAACAGAATGGGAAAAAATTTTTGCAATCTACTCATCTCACAAAGGGCTACTATCCAGAATCTACAAAGAACTAAAACAGATTTACAAGAAAATAACAAGCCCATTCAACAGTGGGCAAAGTATATGAACAGACACTTTATAAAAGAAGACAAACATAAGACCAACAAACATACAAAAAAATGCTCATCATCACTGGTCATTAGAGAAATGCAAATCAAAACCACATTAAGATACCATCTCACACCAGTTAGAATGGTGATCATTAAAAAATCTGGAGGCAACAGATGCTGGAGAGGATGTGGAGAAATAGGAGCATTTTTACACTATTGGTGGGACTGTAAATTAGTTCAACCATTGTGAAAGACAGTGTGGTGATTCCTCAAGGACCTAGAAATAGAAATTCCATTTGACCCAGCAATCCCATTACTGGGTATATATCCAAAGGATTATAAATCATTCTACTGTAAGGACACATGCACGCGAATGTTCATTGCAGCACTGTTTACAATAGCAAAGACTTGGAACCAACCCAAATGCCCATCGAGGATAGACTTGACAGGGAAAATGTGGCATATATACACCATGGAATACTATGCAGCCATAAAAAACCATGAGTTCGTGTCCTTTGAAGGGACATGGATGAACCTGGAAACCATCATTCTCAGCAAACTGACACAAGAACAGAAAATTAAACACCACATGTTCTCACTCATAGGTGGTTGTTGAACAAGGAGAACACATGGACACAGGGAGGGGAGCATCACATACTGGGGTCTGTCGGGAGGAAACAGGGGAGGGATAGTGGGGGGCAGGGAGTTGGGGAGAGATAGCATGGGGAGAAATGCCAGATACAGGTGACGGGGAGGAAGGCAGCAAATCACACTGCCGTGTGTGTACCTATGCAACAATCTTGCATGTTCTTCATAAGTACCCCAAAACCTAAAATGCAATTTAAAAAAAAAAAGAAAAAAAATTAGAGTTTCTCTGCATAACCTCCCTCTTTGCCTGCTGCCATCCATGTAAGATTCAACTTGCTCATCCTTTTCTTCCACCATTATTGGGAGGCCTCCACAGCCACGTGGAACTGTTAAGTCCAATAAACCTCTTTCTTTAGTAAATTGCCCAGTCTCTGGTATGTCTTTATCAGCTGCATGGAGATGGACTAATACAAATATATTTCAAAATAGCTAGAAGGGAGGTTCTTGAATGCTTTCATCACAAATAAATGATAAATGTTCAAGGTAATCAAGATACTAATTATCCTGATGTAATCATTAACACAACTCATACATGTTTCAAAACATTGTTATCCATAAATATGTACAATTATTATGTGTCAATCATAAATTATAAAAAGAGAATTGATGATGCTCCGAGGCTAATAAAAAGGAGCCAGCATGAAAGGAGATGATGAAGAGGAAGGAAGAAGAAATAATTATTTAAGGAGGATCATTGGAAAAGTAAGAGAGAAGGGATCCATGCCACAGGTAAAACAGCTTCTATTAGATCAGAAGACAGCCCTTCTGTCACAGCAACTGACATGAGAGAGAATCAAATGGTGTGAATGTAGCCAAGTAGGCATTAGAAGAGTCCACTTTCACTGACTGAGATGGAAAAAAAGGTTGTCAAATAAAAAGAAGATAATGAAAGATTGAAAAGAGTTCTAGGTTGAAAGTCATTGTGGAGCAAGTTGAGTTACCATTGTAAAGCAGGATTATTGGGTAAGGTTCATTTGGCATTGATCAAAATTAAGCCAACACATTTGGAATTGATAACAATATCAACCTACTGGGCTGCGTGGTCTTTTCCAGCAGGGATCAGTAGCCAAAAATCAGCCGGGAGGAAGGAGACTTTCGTATTGCACTTTTCACAAGTAAGTGACAAGGAAGGTACAGAAGGAGGTGGGGATATAGGATACTGATTAATTGGTGGGAGTAATAAAACATAAAATTGAAAGCAAAGAACAGGATAGCACATTGGGCCAATGGACAGGCAGAGTGTGGAGCTATCAAAGCACTGAAAATCCTGCGGGAGTCTAAGCACTATCATATTTAGAAATGTGTATCAAAAACTAGAAGGGAAGAAATATGTGGTCACGGGATAGGATGACAGAGTTATGACTGTGCCATACCTGTAGAAGATTAGGCAATCTAAAGTTCTACCACTATGACATTTGATGGCCTAAGACTCCTAAGGAAGAGTATAGACATAGTATCTCTCACCTTTGGAATAAAGTACTCTCTAAAGTGAGTATCTTGAGTCACTGCATGGGGCAGGCTGGTGGGGACGAGGTCAGTGTATCTCTGGATCTCATGCACCACAGCATCTGTGTAGGGCATGCGGCTCCTGTCCTGCATGCAAGGGCTTCGGTTTTTGCCAACCACTTGATCGATTTCTTCCTGCACTTTAGCTGGCAAGGCAGGAATCAGAATTTATGTGAAATGAATAAAAAACTTGAAGTACCACTTGTTTGATCCTTTCATCACTGTCCCATTGTCATTGGAAATGGACAGATGGAAAATTATGTTACCACCTCCACAGGAATGAAAAAAAAAGTTTGCATTTCTTGGACAAGCTGAAAGTTCATTAGATACTTAAATATATGCAGGCATGAAGTACAATTTCATGATGACATTCAGTTCTCAACTCTGATTCCCTACTCTGTGTACTTTTTCTTGACAGATGCAAAGATCTGGGATTCTGAAGAATCGCTGAAGATCATGTAGTTCAACCGCTTTATATATGCCAATTTTATCTTAAATATTTAAGTTTCAATAATCTAAGAACACACAATGTAGTTCAGGAAATGCTTAACAAATAGAAAAACATAAAATATTTACTTGATTCAGCACAGAAAATTAAGTTAACATTTATTTAGAAAGTATTACTAATATAGGATGAACGTACTGCACTATTCATTATATTACTTTATGAATAGTGCAGTATGTGTCAGGTATTATTTTATATATTTTACAAAGAAAAAAGTATGTGTGAGGTATTATTCTATGTGTCAGGTATTATTTTATGTATTTTACAAAGAAAAAAGTCCAGAGAAGTAAATAAAGTTTCCTCAGAATGCTCAGGGAATATGAGGTCTTTCCAGTATTATCCCCTTTGAGCAGATAAGGGATGAGATATGGAGAGTAGTCATGTGTCTGCAGGTCAAACAAGCCATCTATTAGTAGAATCAGAATTCAAAGCCACTGCTATTAAAGTCTAGAACTCATTTTTCAAAATAACAATGCCACACTGCTGCTTTAGTTAAATGTTATTTATGTACTAGCTGAAGAATCTATCTTTGTAATAGAGCATGTGCAAATTCTGTATTTTGATAGCTATCAAAAATAAAACAAATTTGAGGCATGTTTTAAATATCCCCTTCTCAGGCTGAGAGGCTGGAGTTTTATATAGAAGACAGCGGAGACATAAAGTGGTCAGGAACTAGCAATACAGTTGAAATGCTCAATAGAATAGCATAGTAAAAGATGAGGAGAGAAAGGAAAGAAAAATATATGTGGACATGACTTAAGAAAACATCCACCTGGAAAATGAAACTGGGAGTGATATGGAATATAACACAGAGTATTTGCAATGTGCAAAAGATTGAAGGTTTGGAGAGGAATGTCATATGCAAATTCTGGTCATAATCAACATAGGTCTTATAAAACAGAAGTATTTAGCTAACAAAGACTGGGTCAAATGAAAGAAAAAGAGAAGCACCATATCTCACAATGTCATAAAATTTGCAGATATGCTTCTAAATTTCAGTACTCAGAAAACATGTCCTATTTATAATGGGAGGGCAAAAAAAAAACTTAAAGGGGAAAATTTTGGTGCTGATATCATGGACATAAGCTTCATGAGGTTTAATCATACTAAATAGATCTCAACGCACCAAATCAAAAACCATGATACAGTAGTGAAAGAAACATCCTCTTAGATGAAGACTCAGTAAAAAAGAGGTGGAAAAATGAAAAAGTTAAATTTGAAAGAGAAATTATGTTTATGAGGAAAAATGTGTCTATCCAAAAGGGTTTTCTAGAAAATAATGTGGGAAAGGGTGTATAACCCTTGAGATTCAGTCGTTTGGTGGAGAAAGATTCGAACTTTATTGAATGAATCCCTACATTGCAGATGCATTTCATAGAAATATCTTTTGATGAAAACATATTTATCTAAACACGGAAGGCACATCAAGTGAGAGCTTTTGAGGGAATGAGAGAACCTAGTTCTTTCTAGATTCTGAGACAACTCTGTTACTGCAACTGTTCCAACCCAAATCAAGAATACTGCACCATAGCAGGGAGAATAATGACCTCTGCCCTTCAAATCTCTGTCATTAAACATTTTATTCTCTTTTTATACTATGAACTAACTTGAATTGAACCCACCCAATGGTAGGTAGATGCACTAATGAGAACTTTTCTTGTACATTGTGTTGGCAGGTAAATGGTGGGATGGCTATCAGTGTTTTCTGTTCATTTCTATCTTAAATCTGATCCTGCCCATCATCTCTGATCATACCTGAGATCTCAGGGTGCTTCAGCAGGAGCAAGAGTCCGTATCTCATTGTGGTGCTCGTTGTCTCTGTCCCTGCACTAAACATATCCCATATGGTAGCAACCAAGTTGTCCATAGTAAATTCAGACTGTTTGTTGTGTTTTTCCTAGCAACGACACATAAAAATTACTTAATAAATAAAAAGCTTGTCAACTAACACAACACTGTTCATTATGACATTAATGCATGGCAAATTAAACCAGACATTAGGGTGTGCTATGGGTAAAGACTATGTGAGATGAACTGTTAGGATTTCTGTTAAAATATAATTGGAGTTATAAAATTTCAAGTCCTTTCTGATTCTTCACTTTCTTACCCACTGGAGCCAATCAGTTCCTTTGTAATTTCTTTTAAACATACTTTTTACTAAGTCATCACTGCTAATCACTGTCAACTCTAGCTTCTATTGTCTATTCATCATATCTAATTTTTCATTCAAAAGCTTCTGGAACTAAACACGCCCAAACTACAGCACTACTTCCAACTCCATCAGTCATTACAGCCACCACTGTTCCTCAATTACAATCAAGATAGCCTCTTTTAAAATTTCACAAACTTGATTACTACACTCAGCATCTCCTGGAACTATTTTCTCCTCCCTGTTTATCTAAGAGTTTCCTCAAATCTACTTCATCTGTGATTTAGTATTTCTTAGAGATTTTCAACAGTCAGCCTTTCTGGGTTCCTATCCATTCCTGTGTTCCCTCATTAGTTACATCTTCTGTTCACAGAATCGTGATATGTTATCACCAGTCTTGAATGGATGTGTGCTTGTGTGTGTTTGTTTTAATCTGCCCCCCAAATAAAGAACCAGCTTTAACATGATAAACATAAAACTTAAGTCTTTTAAAGTGAGAACTTAGAAATATCCCAAGACACTCAATATGGCTTACACAGGTAATAGGATGAACAATGAATACACTTTAGAACAGAGAATTTGTTTTCATATCTGAGTTTTACCAGAAAAAACAAAGCATATCTGTGAGTCATGTCACCCACAATGATAAAGTATCAAATCAAGATCACATTATACCTTTTCCATTTTAATCAGAAAGTAGTCAATAAAGTCTCGAGGATTACTGATATCCAGAGATTCTTGATGTTCTTTTACCTTCTCCAAAATAAAATTTACTTGCAAGGCATGGTTTTTAAATATCACATTATGACCTCCTGGGAGAACCCGTAAAAAGGGGAAAGCATTGTAGAGCTGAAAGAAAGAAGAATCCTTCATTAATTTATTCACTAAACACAGGCCCTTATTATTTATCAGACACTGGCTATATGCTAAGTAGATAAAGATGAATAGACATGGTTCCTGCCCAAGAAGGCATTCAGAATTTGAAGGATAGAGCACTGAAAAAGTAGGTAGAGACAGTATGCACAGGTTACAAAGCAACTTCAAGGTCAATCACATTAATTTCCTTACCAAAACTCTCTGAAGGAAGTCAGGAAATTACCCGTTGTCACCTCTCTTCAGATGAGGATATTGAAGTTCATAAGGTTAATTAATAATCTGACCACACCAAACTAGTGATCTCAGAGCTAATACCCTCTGTTCATACCAGTATACCCAATACATGTTTTACCAGGGGATATTCTAAAAATTTATGAAGACTCATACACATTTGTTACAATGAAGAATAGTATATCTATATATATATAAGCTAAGTGACTTGGGAACTTCCATATATATGTGTGTGTATGTGTGTGTGTGTGTGTGTGTGTGTGTGTGTGTGTTTGAATACAGAGAGAGAGAGAGAGAGAGAGAGAGAGAGAGAGAGAGAGAGAGAATGAATGAATATTTAGGCATTCCAACCTGAAGAATGCGCATATTTTCCAGACTCATTTTTTTGCTGGTCCTAGGGTTTACAGAACATGCTTTAGACAATACCCGAATGACCTAATTATCTTGAAAGGCATCAACATTATATATTCAGGCTGGCAGCTTGAATCAAACTAGATATGGAATCAGGAAATCTAGATTCTAGATTCTGCTTGTTTATTGATTTAGCTAGGCTATTTTGGAAAATATACCTAATAGCTCTGGGTCAGTTTCCCATTCCAGTAAATGAGAGACATTAGATTATTTATTCTCTAGGATCCTTTGAAGGTAGGACACATCATAACTTCACGATCAGTATAGAATTTTAGTTGTTAATAATTGTAAAACATAGGTTACTAACATTTTCTGACCGTGTACTTTAATAAGAAATACATCTTAAATCACTACCTTCTATATCTGAGGATCTAAAAAAACAACAAAAGTTTTAGCAAAACAAATCTTGCTATAAATGAAGCACTCTGAGATTATATATTTTTTCTATTCTATCTCATTTTGTGTTTTCAGTTTTATTGCCTTAGATTGATTTGATAACTCGCTAATGGGCTGCAAATGAGAATCTGATAAGCATTACTTTGAACATTTTTAAATAGGGTAGAGAGACGGGGTAGGCATGAGCAATAGATAAGCTAGAAAACTATTACACATTCTAAAAGAACCTTGAGCTTACCTGTATCCAAGGGGTGCTCACATTTTCAAAGTTTTCATTGAAATACTTGATCAAGGTTTGAAATTTCGGATCACTGTAGTCAAAACGATTCTGAAAAATGATGGTGCTGATCACATTGCAGGGAACACATCCCAGAAGAAAAGTGGGATCACAAGGAGATGCTATAAATAATACCAGTCAGAAGTTAGTACATAATTTTCATATAAATCTAATATTGACTGTTTAAAATAGTTCAAAATGATTGACTTCTAAGATGTTTTACGAATAGAAACTACCTGAACATGCCACCATTGCTATAAACTTTAAATGCCTAAAATAAAATGCGTTGTTTCTCCAAATAAAACTGTCTCATCAGGACAAGTTTACTTATATAAATTTGCCCAAAGGAGTCTCCTATTTATATCATTTTTGAAAATGTTCTAATTCACAAGAAGGTATACAAAATAGAAAGATGCCATTTAATATATCTTTTAATGTATGGGATTTAATTGTCAGTGTCGATGCATCCTCACAATGCCAACAGAAAACGAAATAATGTAAAAAGAAAATCAAAACACTGAAGAAACTTGAAATAGAATATTACAAAACACAGCTGAAAAATATGCTTGTCTTTTTTAAAAAATAAAAATAATGAGAGAAATTGGAATTATAGAAAAATACACTGTAGGTAGAAACAGGTTTCCTATATGCAATAAAGACCATGGCCTCATTTTTTAATGTTCCATTGGTAGAAGTTTTGAAGACTCATGCTGAACTCTTCCCCTTCAATCCCATCTGGAAAAGCTGGAAAAAAAAATGCCTGAGGGTTCCCTCCTCTGGCACAAACAGGAATTATAAGCCACACAAACAGTAATCCCTCCTATGGCACAAACAGGAAGTTTAAGCCCTGGCCTGCACACAGGAATCTTCAACCCAGCCCTAACCCTTAATTGACACAAAAACTTTATGTCACTATCCTCTCCCTGCTCTTTCAATATTATTTTGGGACCCGGTTGGGTATCATCCTGCTGTTGATTGAAAGCAACATTATGTGAGTAATAAAACTTTCATATCCTATTGGTATTTGTGTGGCATCATTAGTGTAAACATCTAAACCAGATTTTGGATGAGAAATAACGTCCCTCTTGCCTGTGTGTGGTGATAACCACAACACTACAACTCTAGAGGAAAATGCAAGCTGAGATCAAAAAGTAAAAGTTACAAGGAAAATTAGCTCTTCTCAACATAGGAAAATAATTTCCAGCTGTTAGCATTATTGGTGATGAAATGGGCTTCCCCAAAAGTGTGAGGGGATAATAACTAAGTGGAATCAAGCAGATTTGGGATGATCATAAATCAGGAAGTTGAGATAAGGCAATAGTCACCATGGGAAAAGTTGAACTAGTTAATAGTAAGTTCTTCAATACAAATTAAGGATACAAATCATTTCACAGATAATATGTACCAAAACCCAATTTTCATTGCTCAATCAATTCTATTTTCAAATTTTATTCAAAGAAAGTAGTCAGACATTTAAAACAATTAATATGGGTTGCACTTTTGTATACTAAGAGTAGGAAAAACTAGAATCAACTTATCTGGACAAAATAGAGGATTAGTTAAATAAACTCAGGTAAGTCAAAAATAATGGATTACTCTACTATCCAGCTAATAATGTTCTTGAAAAACATTGACAAGCTAAACACATAAAAATATTCATTCAATGTATGAGATTATAAAACCACATATAACTTATGATGCTGATCCTACCCCTTGCCTGCCCTGCCTGCTCCTTTCTTCCCTACCTCCTCTCTCAGCCCTGCATGTGCACACACATATCTAGATGCTGCAGGAATCTGTGCTGCTGTGGGTCTATTTCTTCATATCCATACTCCTTCATGAGAGGTGAATTGCAGCCCTACGCTTTGGAGGTAGTTAGCAACCCCTGCATTTCTTAAATAATTTACTAGAAAAGTTAACTAATTTTGCAAGCTTATGTGGCCAAGACTGTTAGCTGACTGCCAAAATTCATGTTCTCTTTGTGTGCACAGAGTAAACCACATTTTCCAGCTTCTCTTGCAGTTAGGTGTAGCCCTATTACTAAGTGGTACATATGAGAGAAGTTATGTGTACGACTTCTATGCATGGCCTAAAATAGTATTTGCTCTTTAACTTCCCCATTTTTCCTTCTTCTGTCACACAGAGGGATGAGCCATTGATGACGCTGAAAGACATCTGCTGAAGGTATCAAAGCCCAATTAACCTGGTACCTAAAAAGACTGTTATTCCAAACACTTCACCTCTTAATTACAGCTATATAAGCAAAAAGTAAACTATGCTACTTCAGCCATCATAATATTTTGTAGTCTATTTACAATACCATTTATTCCACCCAAACAATTAGTGTTAATTATAAACAGAAATAAACACCATTGGTTTTTTTTAATGCTGCCACCAGACACAAGGCTTCCTCTTGAATTCGGTCTTCAATTGTTTTTTTCCCCATCCCCATATTCCTCAAAACCATGAGAGAGAAACGTCGGATTTGCTTCCATCTTTCTCCATTGCTAAAAACAACTCCTATCAACACAAAAGAAAAAAGAGAGAAAATATACTTCATTGTCATGAATACGAGCTGAGAGTTCTCATCTCAGGAAACGATACTGACATTTCAGCAGGGATGTAAATATAATGGTGTCCGCTTCAGGAATTCCCACTGAGCCCTCCCTCACCTGTCTCCTCTCTTAACCCAAACTACTATTCAACTGTCAGGATTCTCAATTTTACATATTACTAAACTATTCTTTCTCCACCAGCTTCACTAAAATTCAAAATAATTCTGTGAACTGAATGTTTTGTCCCATTTTACAAGGATACTAGAAATTATAAAGGCAAAATGCTCTATGATCCTGCAGCAATAAACATGGTGAGTCCTAGTCAGACGTTAATTTTCAGGGCTGGCTTTTCAGACTAAGTGAATTTTAGGAGAAACAACAAGACGGGGGAATTCTCAGGATAATGTAAGACAGCACTTTTTCTTTGGAAGGAATGACCTAACAATCCATTCCTCAGATAAGGGGTATAGTCGCTAAACAGATAACTCACCCATTTAACATTCCCCCTCTATTTGTTAACACTCTTCCATGAAATATGGAAGTAAACACCAAAGAAGTTCAATACTAGGCTGCCAGACTCAAGACCAGATCAAGGGGAAAACAAGCTCATACAAAATTTTTCCAGGAAGCCTCTTAGAGAACAATGCAGAAGAGGTCAGGACCCCATTCAGGTCATATCTCTGTTGGCCAGAACCCTGTGATCCACCAGAAGCCTGGACAGTTTAAGGCTAGCTTTAATAACAAATAGAAGAAAGTTGAAGCACTTAATCAAATAAGCTTTTTCTAGTATCAATTCTGCTACATACTCACTATGTGTTTCTCCATGATCTTTTCAGAACACATTTGCTTTATGCTTTGAATTTTCTTGGATTCTAATATTTTTCATGTTTTAGAATCATATTTGAAGGTAAAGATGGACATTTTCCAAACTCATGTGGTTCCATACACACAATTCAAGCTTCCTAAACTAATCTCTGCATATCCATGACTAAGATCAGGAAGCAAAATATTTGGTGAATACGATAATTCAGTAATTTTCCTCCTCTCTCTCATCTCTCTGTTGCTTTTCCATTATTTTAACTGACCATAATTTACAATGAACTTGTCTTTGTAACAAAATTCATAGAAAATTAGTGGTTAGATGGCTTGTTATCATTGAATTTAATGTTTAATGGGATCAATGTGTCACTTTCACAAATTTTAAATATAGATTAATGACGTTTTATAGAAAAATTCTTCTTAGCCTCATGTAGAAAATACGAAAAGTGTGTTTGATAAATTTTTCTAAATACTTATGATTTGTCAATTTCTTAGACTTTCTGAAGTGTTTACAACTTACAAACCCACACACATACTCCAATGGGAAGCATACCTAATCCTTGGGTAATTCTGTCTACCACTGGCAAACTCCCTCGGCCAGAAAATTCTTCTCCATGATCAATCAGTGCTTCCTTAATTGCTTTGTATCCATGCAACACCACGGTGGGCTTCATGCCAAAATAAACAGTGAACACAGGGCCATAATCTTTTGCCAGCTGGAAAAATAACAGCAAATGCAAGTAAAGTGTGAATTTCAAAAACAAAATGTAGGTAAGTGAGGGAACTATTTTTAATCTTGCTGAAAAGATGTTTCAATATTCATCTACCTATCATATAAAATGTAATGTTTTAGAACCAATTATTTGATAAGAAAAAAGTATTTGAATTGTAATTATCAGTTTTATTAGTAATGATATTAGTGTATCAGATTCAATATTTATTTTTATTCAGCCTCTACTATATGGCAGGGGCATATTATGCATTTTGTTCCTATTATATTATTAATTTTTTATGTCAAACTAATAATTATACCAAGTTTCTCCTTTTTTCTTACAGTTAGAGTAAATCTGTGTTTCTTTTTTGGTTTAAGGGAAGCCCATCTCCTTTCTTCAGATATAGTCTAATAATTGTACATCATTGTTCTCTATCATTTCTTTTTAGCACAAGACAGTGCCATGTTTTTGTAATGCATAATAACATAGCAGCGTGGTCACAGATATTTCCCAGCTTAACTTGAAGCTAGATGCAGCCATATGACTAAGTTTCCATGAACTGACATAAACACAAGTGTTGTGTTAAAATTCTACATTGGTGCATAAAAGATAATTGCTTCCCCTTCATTTCTGCCCCACCTATGTGTTGAAATAATAGAATGGAGATGCCTCTACTGTGAATGTGCAAATGAGAAAAACAGTCTAGGGGCACAAGTTACTAGAACTACAAAGATTTAAAAACAAACAAACAAACAAACTAGTTATCTGAAGGACATCATGGAGGAGAGGCAAGGCACCAGCACTCACCTAGAGACCCTTATGTGAGACACAAGTAAACTCCTATCTTCTTTTAGCATCATCTTTCTGTGATATCAGCTTATGTGGTATCCTAAATGATATAGGATTTACACTCTTTTAACTTGCCCATTGTAGAACTGTTTTTGCTGCCCTAAAAATTCATTCTACAAATGAGAGGAAAGACCCCCCTCCCCTCCTCCCTCTTTCTATCCTCCACCTCCTCCTCTCCTCTGGATGGGAAGGAGGGTGAAAAAATAAAATAAAATACCAAAGAGCTGGAAAGATGACTCCCCTTTTTCAGTTCCTAGTGTCTCTGCTATCTATAAGCCTCGAAAGAGTTGCAAATGAATGTTATTACCAGCCGGAGCCCATCAATGTTTGCATGATCCAGGCTCCTTCCTGGAAATACCTCTGTCAAATGATAATTTACTGACTTCGTCTTGTCTCTGTAAGCCCTCTCCCCTGTCTGTCCCTGCTCATACTGCATATGAATTAGCAAATCAATGAAGCCAAAAGATTATAAGGTAGGACATCCAGCAAATGAACAATGACATAGTTTTGCCTCAATTTCCCCTTTAGCATTGTAAGCCTATAAAAGGGGAAAGAAGCTGCTTCTCTGGGAGCTCAGTAAATGAGGCTGTAGACCCCTGTACCTCCCAGCTGAATAAAAAGCCACTTCCTTCCTCAGTTTGATACTCGAGAGGTTTGTTCCTTGCTGCTCCTGCTTCAATACTAGAACTAAAAAGATTAAAATAAAAAAAACTAGTTATCTGAATGACATCATGGAGGAGAGGCAAGTCACCAGCAGTCACGTAGAGATCCTTATGTGAGACAGAAATAAACTCCTATCTTCTTTTAGCATCGTCTTTCTATAATATCACCTTATGTGGCATCCTAAATGATATAAGATTTACACTCTTTTAACTTGTCCATTGTAGAACTTCTTTTGCTGCCCTAAAAATTTATTCTACAAATAATAGTGACCTTTTCACAAGGAAGATGTAAACATGACTGTCCTTTAAGCATGTTTATGGCATCACATTGCTCTTATGATAAAAACAAGTGTTCTTTACATCCATGCAAATCCTGCATGTTCTGCCCTCTGCTTCCCTCTCTGCTCTCAGTTTGTACCATATTCTTACGTACTCTCTGGACTACAAACACATTGGTCCTCCTTTTTGGGGGTTTTGGGGAGAGAAGTGTAAACTGAAATTAAAATTCAAAGCCTCCCCCCGCCCCCTGCCAACTGAGCCTGCCCACTCTTACCGCCAGCAATCTAAATGGACTTCCTCCTCCAGGGCAGGTCCCTCCAAATTTAACCTGAAAGACTGATTCAGGCCATGATAGGAAGGGGGCTTGAACATGCCTTACTCTGCCCTCTTCCTTTCTGGAATTCAAGAAAAACTGACTAGCATTTAACATCAACACAGATTTTTACAACCTATTCTCTCTGAAGAGTGCTGCCTGGAGGCTTCATCTGCATGTTAACACTTTGGTCCCCACAACCTCTTATCATAATCCAGACATTCCTTTCTATTGACAATAATTCAGTCAACCAATTGCCAATCAGAAAATTTTAAAACCTATCGATATCCTGGAAGTACTCCCCCAACTTACTGCTTCAAGTTTTCCCACCTTTCTGCACAAACCAATGTATATCTTAAATGTATTGACTGGTGTCTCCTGTGTATATATTAAAATGCATGAATGTATAAAATCAAGTCCGGCCCTGACCACCTTGGGCACATGTTCTCAGGGTCTCCTGAGGGCTGTGTCATGGGCCATGGTCACTCATATTTGCTCAGAATAAATCTCTTCAAATATTTTGCAATTTGAGTCTTTGCACTGACAGAAGCAATTCTCCCCCAGATAGAAAACACGTGAAATTGGGTTTTGCTGATATTTTATCTGTTTAATTCCTAATCATTCTTTACATATCAGCTCCAACTTCACTTCCTCAGAGAACCCTTTGCTGACTACTCCTCTAACTGGTTAGTCCCTTGAAACTACATGGTCTCTTTCTACCACGTCCCTGTTACACAGTTTGTAATCATAACTTTAGTTGCACTGTTATTTCATAAATATATTCTTCTCCTCTAAACTGTAAGTTCCATAATGATAGGGTCTTTTAAAATTTTCTTTCACCATTGAAAATCTTTGGCATGCAAAGATTTTGCACCACTTTGTGTGGTGCATAATTACTTCTTCAATACATGATATACTTAGTAACCTGTGCAAAATATTTCTTATTTATATCTTAAACAAATGGAATTTAAAGTTTACAGAGGTTTTAATTCTGCTTAAATATATGAATTAACAATTGGACAAGCTGGAGTGCTGACACAATCTCTTTAGATTCAAAGCCAAGGTATAGGAAGAATGAACTTCCAGAGACAGTTTTCTGGTAACTGGCTTTCTCAAGGAAAAGACAGATTCCAGATAATTCCTTCAGGCTTTAGAGAGCAACTTCTCTGTAAACAACTGGGAGTAGAGAACTTATTGACTCATTTATTATGAACTACAGTATGAAATATGAAAGATCTGAACCCTTAGTAATGTCCTTGATTTCAATTCATCTGTACTTCAGGAAAATTTAGTGTTGTGGCTCTGTAAATCAGTGCTTATTTAAAAAACTGAAAGCGGTTCCATTTTCACTAGAATTTACCAAAAAATAGTTACACAAAAAGCAACCTGGATTACAGTATCAACAGAGAATTTCTGCTCCTGGTAATGTCAACAATTATAACATAGATCAATGATCTTTGCAATGATCCAGTGGTGGCAGGAATGACTCCCATCTTGGGCAACTGCTGCCATGTTGAACCGCTGATAAACTTTGAGATCAATAAGGAATTGTGAAAAACATTTTCTTCACAAGCAACTGGGCTCTCCACATACACAATACAAGGAAACTGGTCCTAATCTTTGAGAACACTTCGTATATAAGTTGTTTCCGATTCACTGATACAAATGCACTCTTGTACTAATGACTGATGGTGCATTGTTAGATTACTTCACTGGTGGATTAAACAGACAAACAATTTATATAATCTAAATGAACTCCTTTGTAAATGAAAGTCCCAATATTCCTCTTAGTGGTATAGTCTATAACTGCTTTCCAGTTGAAACCTCCATTCTGGAGTAGACACTTACTTGCTTCTGACTTGCAGATTTCTTCATTTCTTTTAAATTTACTGATCTCATTTTCTTCTATCTGTCTACATTCTAAAGTCATATCTGTGTATCTAATGAACACCTCTCTGTAAAGGCATCTCTTTAAAACTTGGTATCTGGCACCATATGTTGCTTGGCTATCAGGCTATCTGACTTACTCACTGCAGAAAACTAAAAGAAAATTAGCCACACTTACCATGCTTATGGATTTGCTGATATTCTTACTATTTAACTGTTGAATATTTCCAATAATGGGGAGAGGAGTTGGGCCAGGTGGGAGTTTTCCTTTAGCATTGCTTCCATTCCACAGAAAAAGAAGAATCAGACAAGAAAGGCAAATGGCCAGAATGATAAAGAGATCCATTGATGTGCTCTGTGAAAATGCAGTTGAAAGATAAGAATCCAAAGATTTTGTGAAGACAAAGTACGTGGTTCTCACCAATTATGTACTAAGACTTTGAACTTTGGATATTGATTTTTTTATCTTTAGTACATCTTGAACTGCTGGTGGAAGTAAAAACAAAAATTCAGTTCAGTATTGATTGATTAAGTTTTGCCTAAAATAATAATTGAGTGATAACTCTCACTTTTGTAAAAACAAGAAAAAATAAAATCAAAATTAATACAAAGAAGAAAATCATAAACTTCTGCACAGAAATAAATGCAATAGAGACTGGGAAGTAATTCAAAACATCAAAAAAAGGAGTTGGTATTTGAAATGATGCAGAAAATTGATAAACTTTTAGCTAGAATATCCAAGTAAAAAGTGAGACGACTCTGTAGAAAATAAAAGTGAATAGAAGTTCCTCTTCAGAGCTTTCTTCTTAGCTTATTAAGGATGAATAATAGCTTCTTCAAAGGTTGATTTATTTGAAAGCCTTTTATTAATAATCCTAAGTAGCTGTTGGTTATAATAAAGAAATAGGTATATTCTGTGTTCCTAGTTCTTATACTGCTGTAGCCCATATATTTGCCCTCTGACATGTCTGGATAAGCCCAGGCATGCCTCAGCTCATAGTTAATTCCCCTACGTTATTTGGAAATGTTATTGCTTCTTATAAATGACTTTCTCTTTTTCTTTGTTCTCTCTTGTCTTTAACCTTTTACAAAAAGGTTTGAGTTATCAGCCAATTGGTATAGTTTAGACTGTGAGGCCCAGCTCCCGCCAATGGAGGTAGGCCTGGCACAGCAGTAGAGGCCAGTCCATAAGGGATAAATATGCCTGCCCTTCCCTTGTTCTTTGTACTCTCATGGCAAACTGCTGGTGAGTGTACCTTGTACTCTCATGGCAAACTGCTGGTGAGTGTACCTTTTCTGCAGAAAATAAAGTTGCCTTGCTGAGACAAAATTTATATTTGAATGCTACTTTTTTTTTTTTGCAGCACTAAAAATTTACATATAACAATTCTAGTGGCCTGTATGGGGACTCACTCCCCTCGGGTAGTCTCTGGCTCTCTCTCGTGAGGAGGCAACCTACTGCCTCATTGCTGTGGCTTCAGGGGTCAAAAGCCACAAGCCACCCTGTGCAAGAATTAAAGCAGAACTCTCAGCAATGCAGGGGAAGAATGGCTTACTATACTGTGGTAACCAGGCAACTTCTGTGCACAGACCAAGGTAAGAAAAGCCACAAGAGTGATGAAGTATTTACTTGGTGGTCAGGATATTCTGAAGGTGGAATGTGTGTGTTTGTATGTGTGCGTGAATGGTTGCAAGCATCACAGCGTGCAGTGTTGCTTGTGTGAATGGCAACAAGTCCTACTGCTGGACAGAGTGAGTAGGTCCTCTCTGCAGTTCCTTGGATACCTCATATGGCTTAGGGAAGATCTGCCATGGGGCTTACACTGGCACACCGATGCTAAGAGGAGCCTAATTCTTCTCTGGGGGAGCAGCCAGAGAGGGTGATATGAATGAAAAGGAGTGTAGGAGACCTCCAGGGAAGGGAAGGAAGACTAGTCTCCCAGGAAAAAGGATAGGTGAGACATCTCTGGTTTGAGAGATTGAGTCTTAGTGAGCCTCTAGAAAAAGGATAGGTGAGACATCTCTGGTTTGAGAGATTGAGGCTTGGCAAACCTCTAGAGAAGGGATAGGTGAGACATCTCTGGTCTGAGAGATCTTAGAGATTGAGCCTCCCAGGGAAAAAGGATAGGTGAGACATCTCTGGTGTGAGAGACTGGGCCAATCTGATACCCAACATGGGGAATGTTCCTAGTAAAGTGGGGATGGGAAGTAAAACAGGAAAAAAAGAAAGAGAAGTGAGGCTGATTGAATCCCCTTTAACAGCTTTTTAGGGCTCATGCTAAAGTATTGAAAGGACAATGAAAGGACCAAACATAAGAAAATGCAGCAAATGATAAAATATTGCTATTTTATTTGGACCCAAGAATCAATCCTTAAGCCTGCAGTTTTCTGGCCAAAATTTGGGTCAGATGAGATTGGGTCTGTCAATTTTTAATAATGTATGTTAACAACAAGAGGCCTGTCTCACAGGAAGAGATAGACTATGCCCTATGTAGGCAACAAGGGCCTATTCTCCTTTACCCTTTAAAGGATTTAAAGAAGGAAACAGTGACAAAAAGTCAGAGGTTAAATCATCTGAAGAACAGGGCCTGAATGGGTTGAAGGAATTGTATTCCTTGCCCTTGCCTTGAACCAAACAAGAACTCCGCATGTAAGTGGGGCACTTTAGACCATCTTTCCCCATTTCTCAATCCTAACTCACCTCCTCCTCAGGCCGCTGCCCCACCTCCTTAGGCATCTCATTCATCTGTTTGTTTTCCCCCAGCAGATGTAAATTGCTCTATAGTGGAATTGTTGGTTTCTTGGGTAAAAGGAGAGGGATTTAAAGTAAAAACTTTAGAAAACATAGAAGTAAAATATAGGAAAGCTCCAACATGTGGAACCTGAAGTCAAATACTTAGGCCATTTAATTAGTGCAGGAAAGAGCAGTGATTGATGGGGAAACTCTTAAGGAAGTAGAATCAGGAGGTTACCCAATGGTTTATCTTTTCAGGCTTGTGAACTATTTGCACTCAGTGAGGCTTTAAAATATTTAGAAAACCAGATAGGAACCATCTACACTGACTCTAACTATGCCTTTGGGGTATCTCACACATTTGGGAAAATTTGGGCTGAGCAAGGCCTTATTAACAGAAGAGGCCAAGATCTTGCTCAGGAGACATTAGTTGTCCATGTTCTAAATAATCTCTAGTTTCCAGAATAAATAGCTATTGTTCATGTTCCTGGACATTTACATGATTTTTCATTTGAAAGTCAAGGAAATAATCTTGCAGATCAAGTGGCCAAGAAGGCTGCTATATCTGACACACCTATTTTTCATTTAACTCCTTGTCTTCCTTCTTCTACTATAGTTCCTATTTTCTCACAAGCTGAGTAAGAAAAACTAGCAAGAATTGGAGCTCTGAGAGTTTATGGGTGTATTGGAATTTATACCTTAGCCAAACGGGTCACAGATAGTTGCTTAACTTGCAGGAAAACCAATAAACAGGCACTAAGAAAACTACCTCTCAGAGGAAGAACTCTGAAGCTGAGACCCTTCCAGAGTGGTCAAGTTGATTACACTGAAATGCCCCATTAGTCGGCTAAAATATTTGCTAGTAATAGAAGATTATTTCACCCCGTGGGTAGAGGCCGTTCCTTTTTCAAAAGCCACTACTAGTAATGTAGCAAAGTCATTAATTGAGCATATTATACATAGATTTAGACTGATAGAAAATATTGATTCAACAATAGAACACATTCTGCTTCATAATCAAGAAATTAGCTCAAGTATTAGATATCAAATGGGAGTATCATATTCCCTGCTATCCCTCTTCCTCTGGAAGAGTAGAAAGAATGAATGAAACCCTTAAAATGATTTAACTAAACTAATCTTAAAAACTCAATTGGCATGGACCAAATGTCCTCCTATTTCTTTATTAAGGATTAAAACAGCTCCCCAGAAGGATGTAGGATTATCTCCATATGGAATGTTACATGGGTTGCCTTACTTATATTCCTTGGCTGATGTTCTTACATTTGAAACAAAAGACCAATTTCTTAGAAATTATACACTTGGTCTCTCTTCTACCTTCTCCTCTCTTAAAGCTAAAGGTATTTTAGCACAGACACCACCTTTAGAGTTTCCAGTACAACACCACCAGCCGGGGAAGTATGTTCTCACCAAAGGATGGAAAGAGGAAAAACTTGAGTCATACTGGAAAGGACCCTACCTTGAGCTGTTGACCACTGACACTGCTGTCCACAGAGCAGAGAGAGGATGGATGCATCACACTCCAGTCAAAAAAGTACCACCACCTTTAGAATCATGTACTATTGTTTCAGGGTCAAGCCCTACCAAATTAAGAAAAGCTTAATTTATCTATGTTCTCTTTTCCTCTTCCTCCTTCTACCAGTTCTCACTTTATAATTATTGTGACTAGATCAGACTCCCCCAAGTTATAATAATTGATGGTTGTCTTGCTGTACCTTGTGGGAATTCAAGCAACCAAAGACAACTAGCTTCTTCAGATAAATATCTCTGCCCTAGCCCTCTACTCTCCCCAGTTACCCTTAGTTCCCACAGTTGTGATTACCTACAACCAAGACATTGTCCCTTTACTTCTACAGCCTGGCAACCAAATAGTAATTGGAACTATGTTCTTTTGGCCACTCAATACCAAGGTTGGCCACTCAATACCCCTCTCTACAAGGGGGGTTTGCACTGATTTAAAGCCCCTTCTAGTTTTAGACCAAAGAGCTGTTATTCCTGTACCTGATGATAGAACTAAGGTACCCATTGTGAAAGTAAATGATCTGGAACAAACTTTAGCAATTGAGACAGGATACCAAGATGCAAATGCCTGGCTGGAATGGATTAAATATTCCATCCACACTCTAAATAAAAGTGACTGTTACACTTGTACACCCAGTAGACCAGAGGCCAGATTGTTCCCTTTCCACTTAGATGATCGTCTCATGAAGCAGACATGGAGTGCATGGTAGCTCTTTTTCAAAATCCCATGGTCTGGAATAACAAATTGTGCCAAGTTCTTTCTCTGCTATATCCTGGAAGTTCAACACCCTGTGGGTCAGGCCCTGAGGGCCATCCAGCCTCCATCTTCCAAGGCAGAGCTTGCCTTATGTCTCTTATGACAGGAGGAAAACTAAGTATTCCTTGGAAACTTAACAGGATGCAATGAAATCAGGCACTTCCAGGAGCTGACCCCATCAGTCCACCCTTATTCATCCCCAAGTGAATATATGGTGGTATTGCAGAAGGCTCTTACTGGATACTCTGCCAAACAATTCAAGCAGTACTTGCACTCTAGTCCAATTGGTTATCCCTTTCACCCTGGCATTTCATCAACGAGAAAAAGTAAAAATATGCCATTGATAAACAAGAGAAGCCCCTTATGGATATTTTAA